CTTGACAGAAAGAAATTATCATCTGATCGACGATCGAGAGTTAGCCACTTGTAACAAAAGAAAGATGTAGATATTACCGATACATATATATGTAAACAAAGAAATAGAGCGAATATATGTGGAAAATCTCAGCATTGTCAGCTCACCCACATTGTTAACTGAACGAGAAAAATTCGGAGCCGGCAAACAGTTCTCGGCTCCGACTCCGGCCCCGACTCCGGCGCCGATTACAATAATTCACGCCCGGCTCCGGCTTCAATCGCAGTATTTGACGCCCCGGCTCCGGCTCCTACTCTGGCTCCGTTTATAAGAGAAGCCGGCTCCTAGGAGCCGGGCTGGAGTCGGCTCCGGAGCCGGAGCTGCCCATCTCTGATTAGCATCCACGTTAGCATCCGCTTAATCATGTGAGGTATATTATTTTTCACTTCGATGCATGCCTGAGTGAGAAATTATTAAAACGATAGATCTGTTAAGTTATAAAAGTCATTATTACTGAAAAGGTTCGCTGGTATTGGTTAAGTAAATACGAATCTTCTTTGATTTGTACGATTTCATATTGGTACACTGATAGATCCTACTGCTATCGCGATATACAAAAAAGAAAAAGATATCCAGCCAGGAGACTGTAAATCGCCGATGAACGCTGCTTGTTTTATACTGCTATGATACATTGATTCTTTAAAAAAGTGATAGCAAAACTTTCAGAAGATGCCATCTTCCAGCGGACGAACACGTTGAGGAATAGCTTCGAGGGACTTTTTGAGATTCCATCTATCCAAGCAAACATTACGTACAAAAAAAGTCTAGTTACATTTCGCCAGTAATTGGGATATACACGACTAGTTGTCATCTAGACTACTAGTTGGAAAAGGGACTTTTAACTAGATGTGTCTGCATGCGTAACTAGCAATAGTTAAATCGATCGATTATCGGACGATAAATCAATAGTTGCAACTAGAAGAAATCTAGCAAGCGCCCGATTACTAGATTTCCACTGTCGTTACCCAATAGTTGCAATCAAGTAAAAATCTCGTAATCTAGATAAATCGGAGACATCAGATTTTTTTTTTTGACGCTTGAGTATTAACGTTTGAGAGATGTCCTTTTATTACACGTCAAAATACGTCATTTTGCAGTTCAACGATTTCTTTGTTAAAAAGCATGTTGGTGTAAAATGGCAGGGACATTCATATTATGGTAAGACAAGATCTACTTTTGATATTTTTTTTACTTTACAAAAAATAAGGAGAGGAGAAAAGTCAAAAGCTTAAGAACCTAATGTATAAAACTTTAAAAAAAAGATCCTGCTATATTCATAAAAATATAAAAACTAAAAAAGCGAGCTCTGTCTTGCCTAAGGCATGGATGTTAACTTCGGTTTACGACGTCCGGCAGCTTTTCATATATTAGATTCACTGAGAAACTCTTGAAATTACGAAATATTACATTGAGAAAACGTAATTTTGAGAAAAATCCACAATACTTTTTTTCCAATAAAAACCAGATTTGTTTCAAGAAGTTTGTTAACGAAGTACTGATAAAGATTTACATAGGTTTTGAACTACGCTCGTTATGATATGCATATGCATACATATGTATCGCACATGTATCTACCTATACGAACATATTTTATCTAAAATAACACTTTGCTTTAAAAAGTATGTTTTATTCAGGGCAGCTTTTAGAAAAATCTGAAAATATGCTTTTAGAGACAAGAAGAACGGTGAAATAACTATAGAAGATATTCTGAGCTATCACATCATGTGTTTTTCTATTAAACTGAATGACTTATTTTGTCAAAATATGTTTTCTTGGGTGAATAGTCGCAATAAAAAATTTCTGAAATAAAGAAAAAGACCATTTGGTTCCATTATTAGCAGCTAACCCTTCACGAGCCTTGAGTGCATTGAAATTCCCCTTTCTGCTAGCATGTGATACACAGCGAAAAGATCAATGATACTGTACTTGAAATACAACGTTTTCCTTTTCTTTACCTACCTGGTATAAAACATGCACATGTATTCCACCAGTAACCGCAGTCAGCCCATAGTAATCTTTTACGAAATGATAAAATAAAATAGAACAATGCCCAGGCGATAACAACATTATAATAAAGCATTGTAAATACAGAATTAATCACCATTGCTAATCCGATCCCTAATACGAACACAAAGAAATTGTAACATAATCAGTGTGGGGTAGGCATGCACCGGTTAACCGAAACCGATCATAACCGAAAATGTTGCACAAGTTCTTGAAAATACGTTTGACAGAATATGAAGGAAGCATCTGTTGTTTAATCAACAACTCGTCATCTCGGAAGAAAGATGCACGA